TTTACAGTTTACATTAATACTATTCTGTACATTAAGTATGTTTAAAATGCTATTCAAACAAGAAGGAAAAAGAAATTTCTACAAATCCAAGATCTGAGGTTTATACCAAAATTTGGTAAGACCCTCTATCTGCCATTTTTTTGATATTGCAGTTTGACAGGGAATTTTGTAGAAAAGGCCCTGGTTTGGTAATTCAGGTGCCAGAGACAGAATTGGATTTATATTGGTAAGATTACCTCCTCCTTAGTCTAAATACTTTCCTGCATTATAAGTGCAAGGCTTATAAACTGAGTAGGGGCATAGACTGTAGGAACAAGTGCCTAGTTTGTGGTCTCATCTTCAGTTAAAGTGGGACATCTCAGGGAGTCAGCCTACTCATTTAATATCTGTGTACTGCAAAGGTACTCTGTACTGCAAGGCGCTGTGCTTGATAGAATTCTACCCATGTTTTATCTGAATCTATAATAAAAAGATGCATCATAATGGAGTTCTTCTAGCACCATTTTGTGGAGCTATGTTCTATCCAAGGACATTAACACTGACTTTGGCTGAAGTACTGTGATACATTTAGAACTCTTGAAAACAGTAACTGAAGACACCTGACAAGACAGCGTGTCACACAGTTCATCATAAAACCCCTCCCTCTAGTACTAGCCACCACCACCACCACTCCCTAGGCTGAACATCGTGCCCCTTGCTATACTAGCTCTGTTATGGTGAGAGGTACTAAAGTATACTAGTAGGTAGTTGAGAGATCTAGTATAACAGAATGTTTCCCAAATATGAATTCCAGTCTTGGCTCTACCTTGACCGTAGCCCTGTGTCTTGGCATCTCTAAGTCTGTTTTCCTTACATGAAGCACGATGGCTTCAAGGTAGTACAGAGGTTCTCCACTCTGGTGTATATTAGAATCACCCGAATTTTTAAAATATATCCATGCCTAGGTTCTAACTAGTTTATTTATACTTGAAACTTCAAGTACCAGCATGTTTAAAAGTTCTTGGGCTGAAGAGACAGTATCCAAAGAAGATATATAAATCGCCACTAAGCACATGAAAAGATGTTCAACATCTTTACTTGTAAGGGAAATGCAAATCAAAACCATACTGAGATGCCACTTCATACTCATTAGTATGGCTATAATAAAAAAACAAGTGTTGATGCGGATATGGAGAAACTGGGATGCTCATTCACTGCTAATGGGAATGCAAAATAATGCAATTATTGTGGAAAAGTCTGGCAATCCCTCAAAAGGTTAAACATAGAATTATCATATGATCCAGCAATTCCACTAATAGGTACAATATCCAAGAAAAATTAAATTACATGTCCACACAAAAACTTGTACAAATTGTTCATAGCAGGCCTATTCATAATAGCCAAAAAGTGAAATCCAAATGTCCATCAACTGCTGAATGAATAAATGTGTTATATGCATACAATGAAAGAGTCCTCAGCAACAACAAAATAATATATGCTACAATATGGGTAAATCTTTAAAACATTACAATCACAAAAGACCACATATTATGATTTATTTATGTAAGATGTCCAGAATAGGCAAATCTATAGTGACAGAAAGTAGATTAGTGGTTGTTTAGGGCTGACAGTGTTGCAGGGAAATGGAGAGCTGGCTACTAATGGGTTACAAGGTTTTCTTTAGGGGTGAAGAAAATGTTCTACAAATGATTGTGGTTATGGTTACATAACACTCTGTACTAAAAACCAATGAACTGTACATACTAAAAGGATGAATTTTATAATATGTGAATGATATCTTAATAAAGCTGTTAGCAAAGAGAGAGAGAGAGACTAACTTCAGTTGATTCTAATAAGCAATCAGTATGGAGAACCATTTTAGTAAAGCACGGGTGTTCATTTAAACTTAGGTTCAACTCCTGATTGAATCACACACCAGAAGTGTGATCCTGGAAAAATCACTTAATCTCTCTTTCTTTGCTTCAGTTTCTGTAGTTGCAAATCAGAGATACCTAGGTCATTGTTTAAATGAGAACGTACACAAAGCACCCAAACCTAGTATAGCGTGTTATCACACAGCCAGTAGTAAAAAATGGTAGTCAATTAACTAGGAAGCTCTAAAATAGCGGTTCTGTACCTTGGCTGCACACTGTAATCAACTGAGAAGCTCTTAACAAAAACTAATGCCTGTGTGCTGCCCTCAGAGATGTTATTTAATTAGTCGGCTATGCAATCAGGCATGGGGATTTTTAAGAGTGCTCCCAATGATTCCAATTTGTATCCAAGGTTCATCAGTGTGCAGCCAAACCACTGCTGTAGGTTATGATGAAAGTTTCTTTTGTCTCTAAAATCCTCACCACCTGATCCATAGCACTGGCTACTCCAAGAATTCTCTCTGGCCCTAACCGGTTTGGCTCAGTGGATAGAGTGTCGGCCTGCGGAATGAAAGGTCCCAGGTTTGATTCCGGTCAAGGGCATGTACCTAGGTTGTGTGCACATCCCCAGGAGGGGGTGTGCAGGAGGCAGCTGGTCGATGTTTCTCTCTCATCAATGTTCCTAACTCTCTATCCCTCTCCCTTCCTCTCTGTAAAAAATCAATAAAATATATTTTTAAAAAAAGAAAGAATTCTCTGGCTCATGAGTGCAGCCTCCATCACTCATCCCTACATATCTGTCTAGTTTCAGCTTAAGTATTACCTGCCCAGGGAAGCCAATCCTAATCCCCAGGGCAGGTTAGGCTACCCTCATTATACATTCCCATAGTGCTCTCTACTTCACCTTCCTCACACTCGGCACACTTCTGATTACCTCAATGCCTCTATTTCTAGGACTATGATCCAAGCTGTAACCCCAGCACCTCACTTACAGTAGCATTCCAAAAATTTTACTTTTCACTTAGACACTATAATGTTATTTTTATGTTACAGATGAAGAAATTAAAATAGGGATACCACTAAATAAGTATGAAGATATATATATACTCTAGAAGCATAAATTCTTAAAGAATCCTTAAAAATTTTTTTATAATCACTAAGTCAAATAACAATTATGATTCAACCAACCTTCAAAATTATTTAATCCTTTTACTTTACCACTAAAATATATATAACAACTTTAACTCAAGCAAACTAAACCTTTATTCATTTTTAAAATAAGTAGTTAAATCACATTTTACCTGGGTATGTACTTATTCATGATAGCATAAAAGCAGTTGTATAAATCGCTGCGTGGCAGTTGAAGACGCACCAGTGGTTTGAGTAGATGTATCCAGCTAAGGGACATGCTATATTTAATGTTACGTGATTTACAATAAAAGGTAATTACAGATTCAATATCCAAAAGTAATTCTGCTGCCTTCTCTTCTGGCACTGAAAGCTGGCCTAGAAAATAAATGTCAAAATAAGGTTACCAAGGGCCTGTTAGAGGCTGTTATTGGACATAACACTTATTTACAAATATATAACAAATACTATATTAGTGCACTTAGAGCAGCAGTTGCCAACAGGTGGTCCGTGGACCACTGGTGGTCCATCAGGTCCAAAAGGTTGGCGATTGCTGATTTAGAGCATGACAACACTATGTGAAAGTACATCTTTCCTTATACTTATTCAGTATTTACTAGCTGTTCAATATTTACTAACTTAATAATATTTGACTTATATATACAAGTAGATCAAACAAGAATGGACCATCTGAAGTAGAAGAGCAGGAGAGAATCATAACTCATATTCTTGGAAAGCAAAACTGTTTTCTAAACAAGAGATTATCATCTACCCCATGATGGGCAGCTACCACTACACCCTTGCCAAGGGCAGGGAAAATGATTCATTCTCTACCTCCAAATTCAATTTCCTTTGCCCACACCAGCAATGTTTCCTATGTGGTTAGTAAACAAAAGCTCAACTAATCAATAATTTAACTAAAACGTTTTTCTACAGTAGATCATGACCTATGATTTATAGGTAAACTTTTGGAATACAGCCTCCTTTAATTTAGGACTACATAAATTACATAAGTATTAATTACACCAAAAAAAAAATAAGACTGCAACAAAATTATAAAAATACTTAAAGAATTCAAAACATGATGCAAAAGAACACTAAAACTTGGGCTCTCTTTCTTAAAATATTAAACATTATTTCATAAGATGTTCAAATGAAAAATTCTAAAGCTATTTACTAGCGCTTTAAAATTTGAAGTATCAGCTGTAACTGGTTTGGCTCAGTGGATAGAGCGTCGGCCTGTGGACTGAAGGGTCCCAGGTTCGATTCCGGTCAAGGGCATGTACCTTGGTTGCGGGCACATCCCCAGTAGGAGGTGTGCAGGAGGCAGCTGATCGATGTTTCTCTCTCATCGATGTTTCTAACTCTCTATCCTTCTCCCTTCCTATCTAAAAAAATAAAATAAAATAAATAAATAAATAAATAAAATAAATAAAATTTGAAATATCCCAAGTAATAGTAAGATAATAAAGAATGATTCCTCTACCCCAAAATTATTATTTCCAAAACTTTTTACTGTTTGAAAACAATTATTAAACTTACCAATAAACTCTAGACAATCTTTGTGAATAGTGTTCTGTTCTGGCAGGTCTAAAATACCATCCCATGATGCCAAACTATCTCCTTTTCCTGCAACATTTAGAGCAATCTGGAAGAAAAAAAAAGCAACTAGCTTCATATGCTATCTTTCATCCTTGGAAAGATGCTATAACAATGGAAAGGCCTGAATTTAGAAATAATAATGAATATTTCAAAGATTACAAAGTAATGTATCTACACTTCACCAAATGCTGAAACCTCAGTCATATTCCTCCTAAATTAAATTGTACTACTCCATGTCAACACAGTGAATAGAAGAAATTACATAAAATATTTACATAATTACATATGTAAATTTATTTTAAACAAATATCATCAATGCCATATAGCATGAATGTTTATGTCAACCATGCATATTGAAATCCTACTGTGATGGTATTTGGTGGTGGGGCCTTTGGGAGGTGATTAGATCATGAGGGTGGAGCCCTCATGAATGGAATTAGTGCTCTTATAAAAAAGACACCAGAGACTGCCTTTTCCCTCCAGCTATGGGAGGACACACACATTAAGAAATTACTATTCTTTCAAGTTTAATGATATTACGGTTATTTTAAGTCTTTATCTTTTAGACTTTCATACTAAAGTATTTTAGTGTGCCATCAAGGATTTCTATTTTTGTGTGTGTGTTTTTTTGTAAATTTGTATTGATTTCAGAGAGGAAGGGAGAGGGAGAGAGAGAGAGAAACATTAATGATGACAGAGAATCATTGATTGGCTGCCTTCTATATACCTCACACTGGGGAATGAGCCCACAACCCAGGCATGTGCCCTGACCGGGAATCAAACTGTGACCTCCTTGTTTCATAGGTTGACACTCAACCACTAAGCCACGCCAGCTGGGCCAATGATTTGTTTTAAAATAATCCAGTGTGGGGAGGAAAGGACTGGGATATTAATCAAACAAGATTGGCCAAATACTGATAACAATTAAAGCTAAGAGGAGGCTCATTATACAAGTGTCTCAACTTTGTGTTTTAAATTTCTGTGATAAAACATTCAGAATACTATGTACAGTTATAATTCCATTTCTTTTACATATATATGTGCAAACAGGAAAAAAGTAAAAAAAATATACACCAAGACATTATTGTGTTTTACAAACAGGTGGTAGATAACAGATAATTTTTATCTTATCCTCTGCTTATATATGTTTTAACAAAAGTAAGTATTTCTATTGTAATCGTAACATCTTAATAAAGAAAACATTGCCTTTCAAAACCTAAATTATTAAATATACCAAACATTACAGAAACAGAGATTTTAGTAAGTTGCCCTGTCTAATTTTCTACATGTGACATGCCCATAGGATAATAGTCTTCTGCAACTAAGACAATTGAAAATAAAAATTCTCAAATATTATTTTTTAGTGATTACATTTTATTAATTTAGTTTCCATTTACCTTCCAAACTTTGGTCCTCAGATCAGCAGGTAGTGGTCTTCCTTGAATTATATTTCTCAAAGTTTCAAGATCACAACCTCCTGCTTCCAGAGCTTCTTCAAGATCTTTTTCCCTAAAAAGCAAGTCGTACTTATTAAGAGATATTTTAAATCTTATTTTTTTAAATTCCAGATTCATTTATAAGCATGGCCTGTTAATGCTGCATCCAAGATAAAAATGTTCTAAGCAGCCAAAGTGCAATCAATACCAAGGCAAACACAGCATTTTGTTTTCTTGGAAGTAAATCTCAGGCTTCATACACTAAATTTACTCTTAATTTGCATTTAATTCTAACAAGCTTAGTTACCTGTTTTCTAAGATTAAAGAAATTTAAAAGGAGAAGAAAGGGCAAGCCGGCTGACAGCATTGAGAAATCACAGTGATAGCAGTATTCATAGTAGTAGTAATGACTAACAATTTATATAGCACTAACTGTGTGCCAGGCACTGTTCTGAACATTTCACATGTTTTTTGTTTTTATTTAATTTTCACAATAACCCTATGAAGTATGTTACATTATTGGCCCCAGTTTAAAGATACAAAAATTGTGGCAAAGATGAGTTATGTCGCTTGTGGTCACATATCTAGTAAATAAGTTGAGCCAGGATTCAAATTTTAAAAGAATGTATGTTCTTAACACAATGCTAGATAATGACAAAGAGGAGAAACAAATTCAGTGAGGAATTCAAAGCACTGCAGTATGAGAGGGGATAGATAGTACATGACTATCTACACTAATAAAAGAGAAACATGCAAATTGGTGTCACTTCGCTATGCCCACCAGCCAATCAGGATGAGTATGCAAATTAATCCAACAAAGATGGCGGTTAACTTGCATATGCAGGCGCAGAGTGAAGACTGAAGGCTCTGACTGGAGTGAAGACTGAAGAGGGGAGAAGCAAGCCTCGTTGTGGCCGCAGTGGAGAAGCCAAGCCTCACTGCGACCACAGCAGAGAAGCCTAGCCTCGAGGCTTGGCTTCTCTGCTGCGGCTGAACCAAAGGCTTGGGTCCCGGGTGCCAGAGGAAAACCGGTGCTGGCAGCCAGGGGAAGGAAGGCCTATTGCGCGAATCTTTGTGCAACGGGCTTCTAGTATAGATATATGACTAGAGCAAATTACCTGAAAGATGGGGGAAATGTGTAGCTAGCAATGGACATTACTTTGAATAAAGCACTTTTGATGTTTCTCTTGAAATTATCATGTTTTCTTTGATTACAATATCTACATTATTAACTGGTACACCTAGTAATGGAGATGAAATTATTTTACAGAATAAATGAAGAACTAGAATTTTCCCATTTTTCAGTGCAAAATCCTTGGTTTCTTTTTGAAGAAACCTTGCTAAATCCCTTACTATTTCAGACAACAAAGTTAGTATTTTGGGGCAACAATGCCTTATCCTCAACATACTTTTTATATCATAAGTAGGGGCTCGGTGCACAAATTCGTGCACCAGTGGGGTCCCTCGGCCTGGCCTGCAGGATTGGGCCGAAACCGGCTCTCCAACATCCCCCAAGGGGTCCCAGATTGTGAGAGGGCAAAGGCTAGGCCGAGGGACCTCATCGGTGCACAATCAGGGCCAAGGAGGGACGCAGGAGGTTGGCCAGCCAGGGAGGGACTGCGGAAGGGCTCCAGGGCATGTCCGGCCCGTCTCACTCAGTCCCTATCGGCTGCAAGCAGCAAGCTAACCTACCAGTTAGAGCATCTGCCCCCTGGTGGTCAGTGCACATCATAGTGACTGGTCACTGGTTGTCTGCCCCCTGGTGGTCAGTGTACGTCATAGCGACTGGTCGACTGTTTGCCCCCTGGTGGTCAGTGCACGTCATAGTGAGCAGTTGAGTGGCCTTAGCATATCATTAGCATATTATGCTTTGATTGGTTGAACGGACAACTTGACAACCAGACACATAGCATATTAGGCTTTTATTATATAGGACTAGAGGCCCGGTGCACGAAAATTCATGCACTGATGGTCTGCAGGCGCTGCTTCAGCTCGGCCCGCAGGCTCCGCCTGGTGCCACTCACAGCCGCCGCTGCCATGTGGGGAGTACAGGCCGCCCTACGCCAGGCCCTGCCTCCCCCACCCCCGTCCCTGCAAGTTCCTGCCTACCCGCGCCTGCTATGCACGCAGCCTGATGATCGGTCGTTACTGTGATGGTGTCCCGACCAATTTGCATATTACCCTATTATTAGTATAGATCAGCCATGGGAAAACTACGGCCCGCGGGCCGGATCCGGCCCGTTTGAAATGAATAAAACTAAAAAAAAAGAGACCGTACCCTTTTATGTAATGATGTTTACTTTGAATTTATATTAGTTCACACAAACACTCCATCCATGCTTTTGTTCCAGCCCTCCGGTCCAGTTTAAGAACCCATTGTGGCCCTCGAGTCAAAAAGTTTGCCCACCCCTGGTATAGATAATACACAAGCAAGCACATTTTTATTGATACAACCACTGTTGGATTTTGGATGCTGCCCCCAGGGAACCACATATATAGTCTCCAGCAGTACAATCATGAGCAAGAAACCAGAAAATGCTCCACCTTACATAGTAAAAGGCACTTCTCAAAAACTAAATACAGTGGGGCCTTGACTTACGAGTTTAATTCGTTCCGTGACAGAGCTCGTAACTCAAATTACTTGTATGTCAAATCAAAAAGTGAACGAGTGAGACACGTGATGCTGGGCTGATGTTGTGGCGTTCACTGTGACGTTCGCTGTGCCAACTAGAGGTGGGGTATCTGAAGCTGGCTCGTAACCCGAATTTTAGCTCACAACTCAAAGCAAAAAATCGGCCGAGAGGTGGCTCGTATCTTGAAAAACTCGTTGGTAGGGACACTCGTAAGTCAAGGCCCCACCGTAATTAAAAGTAACATTATCTTCTGAGCAAGGTGTTTGAAGGTTCAGTTATCATAACTTCAACATTACAAATGTGCTTGTAAAAGCAATTAAAGAGCTGAAAATAAGTTAAATAATTCATAAAAAGCTCAAGTTCCTATCATAGTTTCTTCTACTTTTGTGTTGGGGAGCACATGAGACTTGGTTGGAAAGTTTGTAAGGAGGACATTATGAGAAAAGGGAAGTGTTCGGAAGGCTGCCTGCCCTGTTTATCAGAATTCCGACTTAGGGGAGTGCTGAAGGAGGTGTCCCTAATTATTCCTTGACCTTTCCAAACAAGTCTGTGTACGTGCAGACCCCCAAGTGTTTACTGGAATCCTTATTCCTTAATCTTTTGGGTGTCCTTGCTTAAAAGACACTATAAGCATACATGTCCTCCCAAGATTACTTACCCTGCTGACTGTATCTAAAAGATAAACTTTATCTCAAACTGCTGCTACAATCGAGGCTGCCTAGTCCCTTTGGCCTGGCCTTCCCTTAGCCCTCTCTTTCACAGCAAATGTTGTGTCGGAGTAATCCATTCATCTGTCACTCAGGGTCTGCTGGCCAGCCCCGGCACTTTTGAACAAGCAACACCTAATATTCAAAAGAAAAACACACATCTGGTGGGGTATGATTGGGTGGGCGGTGGTTTTTAAGTCTTTTTTGATTTGGGAAGCTTCTTATTGACTAGCTAAAGGTTGGTGGAAGTGTATGGGACGTTCATACAGCTATTAAATGAAATAGAAAAGTACAGTCCTTGTCCATTTACTCTAGTAAGTGTAAAAAGTAAGCAATTGTTTCCTTTGCTCAGAAGATTCAGGACAAAGCACATCCATTTTGGGGATTGTAAAAAAGCAAAAACGTACCTCTTCCTGGCTCTGTGACACTGAAATTATCTATCTATATACACAAAAGCCTTAAGCGACCGGACAACCGGCCAATAGCTATGATGTGCACTGACAACAAGGGGGCAAATGCTCAACGCAGGAGCTGCCCCTGGTGGTCAGTGCGCTCCCACAGCGGGAGCACCGCTCAGCTGATGGGCACCAGACGCTGGGCTCATGGCTGGCAAGCGCAGCTGCAGTGGTGCCAGCCTCTCCTGTGGACAGTCCCCCTGCGCACCCCTCCCCCATCCGGACTGGCACCAGGATTGGGACCAGCATCTGGACTGACTGGGCGTGAGCCTGCAGCTGCTTCTCAGGTGCTGTGTGATGATGAGCGATGAGCAGTGAGCGACGGGCAATGGCTGTGCGGTCATGGGCAGGACGGTATCGCCCTAGGATGGGCTCATAGAGACAGCAGCAGCAGAGCAGCAGTGAGCCTACTGAGAGGCAGCGGCAGCAGGCACAGTGGGGCCAGGATGAGCGGGAGCAGTGTGGCGCCTGGAGCAGTGTGGCGCCTGGCCTAGGCTCAGGCTCCTCCCCAGCCGCCTGCCGCTTTGTGCACTACTTTGTGCTGTGTGGGACTGATGTGGACAGTGGGCTGGAGCCCAACGAGCTGGTGGATAAGGCTGGGCTGCAGCAGCGTGGAAGTCCACTAATCCCCATAGGCCAGGTCGAGGGACCCTACCAGTGCACAGACCCGTGCATGGGGCTTCTAGTGTTAATATAATACTACAAGTTACTGTCAGTGATCTATAAATGACATATTTTCAAAACTTAAAGAAAACAACAGAATTTCTCATCTGATGTGGCAAAAGCATTGTAACCCAAGTTGCTTTAGAATTACAGCAAGGCAAACACTGAATAAACTTATATGAAGTGAGTTTAAGGTTTACTAGTATATTCAAGCTAGCATCTGAATTAGGTTTTCCTTCCTCAACCAAATGTTGAGTAACTTCTAGCATATGGAAGGGAGGAAGTGGGGCAGGTTAGGGAATTTTCAAGCATTACCAAAATAAATACACATTCTAAATGCTTTTAGGATTAACGAGTTCAATTTGAAATTTTGTAATTATTTTATTAATAAACCACACATTAAAATTATGACTTTAAAAGCCACTAGATTATATTTTTGTGTTCCTGAAACTTAAAGTTACAGAAAACTGGCCACTAGGAAAAAATAACTATGTGTAGCACTTTTTCCTAAATTCTGTTTTTCCTAAAGATGTTATCAAAACTCATTTTCTCTATATAATTTCAAAATTTATGAAAACTTCAGTTGTACACACACCAAACCGCAAATGAAAATAA